ATCAAACATAAATTTGGATTTGATCAAATAAATCATTATTTGATTTGAATTTGATCAAATCAAATCATATATTCAAATATTAAATCAAATTGCAGAACCCTATTTATTATAAACAAATAGTTTTATCTCAAATATCTTAAAACTCAAATTTTCTAAAAATAGTTTAGGGAGATATCTTTAATTTATATTTATATTAATAGTGTATGATTTTTTTTATAATATAAAAATTTGTTTAATTTAAATTTTATATTTGTAATTAACTCTATAACTTTAGAAAGATTTATAATAAATCCTGCATTTGATTTGAAGGTACTAGCATTATTAGAAGGCTATGAAGTGCTATTCTTATACTAATTATAATAAATTTACTATTTTAGCTTATAAATACTTTACATATCAGAAATATTATATAATACAATTTTATAATAGTTTACAAGCCAAAGTTCAGAGATTAAACTTTAAATTTAATAATAAATCTAAAGACATAACTTATATATTTCAGAAATGTAACTTATTATTTTCTTATTTTGTTTATTAGTATTTCACTTTACTTTGCATAAATCTCACTTTAATTTGCTTATAGTAAACCTTAAGGTAAGACTTTTTGTCAAGTAAATAGTTATAACATATGTATATACTTATTATTTTCTTATTTTATGAAGAAATTAAACACGAATAATTAAATTGAAAGGTCAGATCTAAAGATGCCAGTCGAAACTCACTCAAAATAATTTTGTCATATCCCTTACTATGTTTTTAATATAGTTTCGGCTAATTTCGGGTTTTAGGATTTCGTCGTACCCCTTACTATATTTTAATATAGTTTTGGCTGTTTATTAATTGCCCTTTTTGAGTTTCGTCCCTCATCTTTAGTCAGATCATCTTTATAAATATAGATTTAAAGAAGAATGAATTATTTTATGAGCAAAGATAAGTTTTAGAGAATAAATATTGCAAATTTCTTATTTTAGTAATAAATTTTTTAGTTTATACAACTTTAATTTTAATTTACATATTGGTTATTATGATATATATTTTAAAAAATAAAGTTTTCTACATATATTATTAATACTAAAAAATAAAAAATAATGCTTTATAAATAAAAATCTTGAAATTTAAATATTCTTTTATTTTTCTTTTTATTACAATTATTTTATATTTAAACATGATATAAAAAGAAAATCAATAGTAATTATTTATAAATGTATTTTCTTTAATAAAAATCTTCTTTAAAGAAAGAATTGGTTATATAACTTTTTCTTTAAGATTATAATAATTATATTCAATAAATGCATCTTCACCATATAATTACCATATATTTACTATAATACTGAATGGTTAATGTATAGTAATAGAAGGAGAGAATGCGTAGAAATAGCAAAAATAAATCGTTTAAATCTTTCATTTTTTTAGATAATTTTTGATAATTTTGGCCAGATGTTAATTATTTGTATAGTAACTGACTGGAATTATCATAATTCCGGCCCTGAAAAAATGCGTACAACTTATAGTAAATTTTTGGTTGTGCCTTACCTATTTTAGTATTTTTGGGGGTCCTGTTACTGTAGATTAAGGAAATTAAAGATTCTGTAAAGTTAATCAAACTATGTAGAATTGCATTTTTGCATAAATTCATTTTCTTGAAGATATCTATATTTTAATATTCTGGTTACATTAATTATGTAATTTAAACATTCTCTTCTTAACATTCGAAATTTCTATCAAAAAGATTTGTATAAATTTTTTTTATATTATTATACACTTAAATGTTAATAATTTAAAATGTATTCTGTATGTATAAAGTCTATACATGAAAATTTGAGATATATAGTAATACAATTTCTGGAGTCGAATCAGTCGGTCGTTTAGATCCTTTCGCTCTCATCGAATCAGCAACCTAATTTTATTATTATTTTAATACTTTAAAAAGATTTTTAAAAAAATACATAGGGTTTTTCGCCTGAATTTTCATAATTCCATTCGGCTAAAAATTTGAAACTTTATTTAATTGAGAATTTCGATATTATATCAACACGGTTCAGTCATTTGAAAATTACGGATTGATCTTTGCAGATTTGATGAATGAGACTCCAATGGTTTGTAAGCAGAGTTTGATGAGAATTTTCACTTAATCATTTTCAGAAATTTACAAAATTCACTATTATAAATGAATAAAAAAAATTTTTTTTTGATTAAATTGATACCTTTTATTTTTTTTATGATTGAAATCATAATTAAATGATTAGCAGCTTCATAATTATTATAGGAGTGAATATGCTATATGATTTTCATATTCGCATTCGAAATTTACGTTCCTGTGATAAACCATTTTATTGTTGCATCATTATCATCAACAATCTAATTGGTTGTATTGCTCTTCTTCGAACAACGACAAATTTGATTTCTAATAATATAAAAAAAAACTGCTTTCTCGACTCATTGATTGGAGAGTAATAGGAGTAATAGGATTTCGCGACGAATTATTAATGTCGATATTTTAATTTGCCATTTCGATATAACAAATGTGTCAATTGTTTTGTCACGTATCAACATAATTAGACTTATTATGAAATACTATCTACTTCACCTGAAAAAGTTTCAACTTCTTTTACAAAGAAAACTTTGAAACATTATTATACGCCACATTGTATTATGTTACACCTTATATTGTGATCGCCAAATTAATATCCAAAATTCTTTGTAAGAAAAAAAATAAGTAATCAAATAAGGTTATTATTACCAAACTATGCATAACAAAAACAATGTCGTTGCATATTGTGGCGGTGTTACATAAATTACTTCTTTTATATGATTATTAATATCAAAGCTTTTATTAATCTAATTGGAAACGTAGAAATTTATTAAACAAATCAATAAAACCCAAACCAATTATAATAATAAGAATAAATATAAACGTCCTTTTAGATATCACGAATTGGATGGTTTTCTTCATTTGAGATTAGAGATTGGAATTGTTATCATTCTACTACATATGTTTTTTTGATTGATTAGTCGTCGAAACACTGTAAACATGTCGCCGACCATAGCCTATTCCCTTTTTTATTTTTTTTTAAAAAATAATATCCTTTGTGTTGATAAATAATGCGTTCCAATGATTAATGTTTCAACTCTTCCTTTTTAGGTACCTTATTTAGCCCAACTGATTGTTTTTTTAGAATTTCTTTTCACATGATTTATTTGAAAATTTTTCTGGGTCTTGTTTATATTAATTTAATATACGTCATACTAAACTATAAATGTTTAAGTTTTCAATGTTAAATGCTAAATGCAGAACATTTATGTTTATTATGTTACACCTCTAACTAATATTTCACTAGTATTTGGAAACAAATATTAATGTACTTTACAAACAAATCGGACAAAATTAGTCAATATACAATGATATAATTTGTATCACCCGAATAAATATTATATAATTGACATATTCGTATTCCGTTGCATTTTGACTAAACATTTCGCATTGTTCAATAATATCTCAGTATTCCTAATAAGTAATTCTAAAAAGAAAGTCCATTTTTGTATTGCAGATCTTTTTTAATCACACGACTATGAAAAAAAATTTTTTTTCCTATACTGTTAGCACAAGTTTTGAGACTAATCAAAACCTTTGTAACAATTTCATTAATGCAGTTTAATTTCGTAATAAAGAAGTTTATTGGTTATTCAATAAAGAAAGTATGAGAAAAAAAGGTAAATAAATTTTAAACCCGCAATAAAAGTTTCTTTCGAAAAGTTAAAAGCTTTAAAGAACCAAAAGTAGATTATTTATCATTGTACGAGTGTAACAAAATCAAATTATGCAGGATTAGCACCATTTGATTAATAAAATCAATGGCTCTGATTTAAATAAAGTCGCCGCAGTGTACCTCTTTGTTTACAACCATGTAAACTTGTTATTCAATATATTAATCCTCATGCTTAGATTTAAATTAATCATTTCACCATTAGATTCACCAATGCACAAAATGAAACACGACTTGACCCGAAGTTCCATAAACTTTGGCGAATAAAATGATTTTACGTGAAATAAGTTTTTTTTAAGGAACGAATTCTAATGTGTTTTTGACAACATTTCTGTGGTTTAACTTATATTCGATAAGTTTGCTGTGTAAATTAGCGAGGTGGTTATTGATGCATCATGCTGAAAATTTTAATTAAAAAGAAAGAAAGGACTGATTTACAAAGAAAACGCGTTGTGTTTGTTGTGTTTTTGTGTAACGTGGCATCATCGGTTTGTTCTTCAAATATGATGCCATATATATTTTTTTTATTTAATATTGTAAATACTAAATACTGTAATTAGATATCGCATTTTTTTTTTTAAAAAAAAGGTTAGTTGGTGGTTCTTATACGAAATTTTAGCAATTTATAAATATACATTACCCTACAATAAATTACCGGATTTTATAAAATTTACTTAGTAATAGCCAAAAAATTTTATTTGAAAGCCAATCAATTATAATTTTTAAAAACATGATCAAAAGTATTCAATTTTAAAAATGCAGAAAAATATCTGTTTTAAAAGTAATAGATAAAAAAATTTTATATGTAAAAATAAAAAAACAGAAAAACTATTACTTATATTTTGCCAATGAAAAAATTTTTTATTCTGATGATCATCAATTTTACTATACTATATTACTAAGTAAATTTACAATTTATTGTAGGGCAGTGTATAATATAATATAATACGATAAGATAATTTTACGAATAATACAAGTTTATTGAAACCTTAGACCAGTCTAGTAATTTACACAGTACATAAATAATAATAATTATACATGCACATTATCATATAAACTTTAAAAGGAAAGGAAAAACGAGATTCATAATAGTACGACGTCTATAATTTTTACGCGAATATTAAAAAATATAAAAAATAGAACATGATATTTTTAAAAAATAATCAATACTTTTTAAAGATATAATTTGTAGATTTTGCCAATTTCTGTTATTTGTGCCAAAAAAAAAAACTTATTTCAAGTGAACGACGACCCATTATAAAATCCATTAATCAAAGGATCATTCGAATTTTGAGTTGAAATCCTTGCGATTCTATTCAAAAATGTATCATGCTGAAGGTTTCGACGAAATGAAATATAAGCGTTTCGTTGTCTTCTAAAATGGTTTCTATGCTTCCTTTGATTGTTTCGATTGTTTCTGATCGATGGAGTTCCAATGATTCCGCCGTTTAAGCCGCTTAAAAGAACGTTCATATTCATATTTGAAGAAATTTCCTTACAATTTTATAGAACTTGGTTTGTTTTTAGTTTAATTATTATTATTTTTTTTGTTTTTTTAGTTTTTGTTATTTTTTTAGTTTTTATTTTTCTAATATTTTTAGTTTTTTAGGAAAGAAATCTTAAAAAACTAAACATTCCTGAAAGAAATAAATACATATATTTATATCCTTTGAAAATTCATATTTGTTAAACAAATTTTAATTCATATGTTTGATAATGTAAGTTATATAACATTGCCGCTCAGGAGTCAATTATTTAGAAGTAACGCGGTATTCTTATCGAATCTCTCGATTAGAAAACCTTATTGTCCATTTCGAGTTTATTATAACACAAACACATGCATTTATAAATTGGCCAGTTGCTTTGAAATGACGTTTTGATCATATGAATAATTAGATTCTTGTTTGTGCTTAGAAACAAACCAAATATGAATTGTTCCGCTAACCATTTATCTGGAAAATCTGTAACTATTCTTTGCTTTTCCGTTAGACGGAGAAATAAACTTTTAAACAATTCAATTATAATACAAATTAGGGAATTTTTTTAGCTGCAATTCACTTATTTTACAATTTAATATTGGTTATTCTTTATTGATTTGTAACCGATACCAAAATAATCAATATTCAAGGATCTAATGCTATTTAATTTATGAAGCATGCAACGATTTTAGTGGGTAAACATTAAGATTATTTGGATCATTGTTGATGGTTGATTGTTCGACGATATACAAATCTCGATGACAATCATCAAACCTGTGTAAAATTAATATTTACAAAACACGAACAACTTCTGAAGAGAACAAATAACATAAATTTATTGGATTTGCTTTTCCATGGTTTCTTTAATACAATTAAAAATACGGAGATTCCCTTCGATAACGAATATTTTTTTTTTGTAAACGATAATAATTATTCGAGTTTTTAGGTCATACGTATAGATTTGTTTTTTGAATTAAATTAATTGAATTAGGTCATGTACTTTTTGTGTAATAATAAAGATTTCAATCATTTGTTTTATTAGCATCAATGAATAGATGCTCCGTGCATTATATTTACTTGAACGTTATCTTTTAATTTATTCATCATGATTATTATGAAAAATTTTCTCTCCTTAATGCGAGATGATGTATTGAATAAAAAAAATTAAAAAATTTATATGTAATAAATAAATAATTTCAACATATGATATGATATACACACAAAAAAGATCATCTTAAAAATACTTTTAATAAGAAATCAAAATCGTGATACCAAAATAAAACACGAATAAAAGTGAATTTCTTAAATTAAATTTTCGTAAATAACCAGACAATGGTATTAACCTTCTCCCCCCTTATTTCCTTTATTTTCCTTATTTGTGAGTTTTCTTGAGTTTTATTAAATTAAAAAAGGACTTTGCAAAGTAAAAAAAAAAAACAAATCATGTTGAAGATATTTATCTGAATGAACCCTTATAAATTTAAATTTCCTTTTATAAAAAAAAAAAAAAAAAGTTAAACTTTTATTTGTTTCGTAAAATTCACTACTTAACTGTTTGCATATATTCACAAAGATTGTTTGTATGATCACTTTATAACTATAAATTTTTTTTTCATATGTTTATTCTCAGGAAAAAATAATAATTAATTATTAAAAAAAACATTGCATTAATTTTCAATTGGTTCCATTCTGTATTTCCTCTTAAAAAAAGCATTGTATCATCATATTAAACTAATTTAAACTTGATATGATTTTTACTTTCTCGTTCCTTCTATGTAAAAACCCCAGCCTTTCCGAATTATTCCTTTGCAATTTTTTTTTGCCTTTTTTGAATTACCTAAATAGGATTCTGCAGACTCGAGAAGTAATTCCGAGTCAAAGGTTGTACGCTGCAGATTCATTCACATAAATGATGGTACTTCCATATGGATTTTATCACATCATTTAGCAAATATGCTTATTGTAAAATAGAGTATAATTGCATAATGTAGATCAGGGGCATAATATTAATCCACAGATAAATATAAATAAATACAATGTTTTTGTTATGATTTTTTTCCGCTTTTCAGTAAAGGACAAATCTATTTCATGGAACAAAAGCTTATTTTTTTGAACGAGTAATTATACGTTTTGGCTTGATAAAATAATGTATTAACTATCGAATTGTTGCTGCGCCCCGATTTTTTCTTTCCCACTTTTTTTTTCTTTTTATGTTTAAAGAACTTTGTACATTTTTTAATATTTTTTATTACTCACATTTTTATTATCCTATTTATTATCCTATTATACTTGAATAAATTTGTTTCTTTGACGCCACAATTCATTAGAGACATACCTTAAATGACTGTTTCTTAAATAATTCATATTTGAAGATATCAAATTACTTAATATTAACTATTAAAACCTAGATATATAAATCAAAGCATAAGTTACTTATTATCTTATAATCATCGCACGAAATCAAACTTATGCATAATTTTAAACCATCAAGAAGTCGGCAAACGATTAAAAAAGTGTACACTCCCCTCCAAAAAATATCCGACCACCTGCGATTATTTAAATCGTAAATTTTAATATACCGATTTAATATTTAATAACTTAATAATTTATTTACAAAGTATATATAAAATTTACATAAGTATCTCAAAAAATTTTTATTGAAATTAATATTTAATTGGTCGCTACCCTTCTTGTCATAATTTCTACTAAATTCATTTTTTGTAAGATTTCTAACATTTCTTTCTGTGAGTTTTGGCGGTCTACCGGTTGGTTGCATTTTTATAATTTGTTATTATGTTATGTTATGTATGATTGACTTAGGATGATAGAGAATGTCTGCAATATTCGTTTACTATGACCTCCCCCCAGCTCAAACTCAGATGGTTATTGCCTTTTAAACATTTTAAAACAAATTTTTTTTTTACATTTTCAAGTAATTGCAGACGCAGGCTTCAAGGTAAAAAAATAATTTTTTAACTTATATGCATTAATTTTGGCATAATCTTAAGGGTGTTCTGATATTTATTGAAGGGGTGTACGTTTTTGTGTGCGCTTTTGTTATTGAGATGATTAACATCTATTTAAAGACGAGACACTAAACTTTGATCCGCGCTAATTTTCACAATAAAAAATAAAAATGTTGATGATACACAACAATAGGGAAAACAATGATTCCTTCTCGATTCAATATCATTATATACGATATTATACATTTAAAAGCTATCTTTATCATCTATTGCTATTAGAAGATAATTAATATTATATATATTTATTTACAATAATAATGATTTATATACTCTTATTGAATGTTATAAATTACATTTGTATTATAATGCATGCATTTAAACAATAGGAAGATCTCTTTTTTTTCCAACAAAGCAAACAAACAATGCTTGCGGTCACTATCACGTGATCTCCGATTTTTTATAATGATTGTTAACAAACAATGAAATTTACAAGAAATAGGGACAAATTAGTTTTTATAGAAATACGAAACGTAAAGACGTATGATTGCAATCACCTTCATGTTGAATTATAAAACGAAGACATTATTTCATTTTAAAAAAAATCATAACGTTCATAAAATCTTTTTATACCGTTATATATCTTGACAATACTATTGCATTACCAATGCAAGCATGTACGGCTGATAAATGATGCATTCTTTGGTGAATATATTGTTGGAAACCTAACCAAAAAAAGTAATTTTCACGTTTGAACTTGTGATTTTTGATTTTATTTATAAAATCAGCTGTTGAGTACCTTTTTCATGCAAACTGTATAATATATCGTAGATTTACTTTTTACTAACTTCGTAATAATTCATTGTGCATAAGATTTTCCGAGAATAATAAATCTGCACAATGCTTTTCTCCATTACATTTCTCCAAAAAAAATATCTGATTTCATTGTTCACGTAATCTGAATATCATGTGTGATCATATGACCGTTAAACACATACTGCGACATACATTTTTTGAAAGTACAATGATATAGTAATGGAGGAGCATTCTGGTAACATGAAAGTGTTCATTCATGTGAGAAAATACGCGAAACAATAATGGTAAACCAAGATTTTTTTTTAAAATAAAGAAAACAAAGTAAAAAAGTACAGTCACTTGGTGTGATTGTAAAAAAATCTATATGATGCGTTTCTAGAATATTTTTTAGATTAGTAACTTTGGCCTAGAGGAAGAAGTTGACTGTATCTATTGTTTATTAATTTGTCACTGTTGTGTTACCGACTCTTTAGGTGGTTCTTATCTTTATGATCTTATCACCTGCAATGAATGCATTTGATCACGAAATATGAACCCGGTTTTTCATTATGATGGCTTTAATATACTATAAAATTTTCTAATTGATTTAAAATAATAAAGTGATATGATAAATATTATACTTGAAAATCAAGTACAGGTTTTCCAAGAAAAAAAAAAAGAAAAAATTAGAACTTCATCAAATTTGGCAAACAATGAAAAATTTGACTTACATTTATTTCATCTATTTCAAGTCTTTGATTTGAGAAGCAATATATTAATATAATAAATATACAATGTGACTAATACTTACTAAAATTAAAATGAATTTAAAATATTAATAATTAATAATATAAATTATTAAGACTAGATAAAAAATG